TTCTGAACAAATTGTTCTTTGAGCCTGTTCATAGGAAGTAACCGAACTGAATTGAACTTTAGTCCCAGGCTGATGACGCAAGACGCACAGCCAAAGTTTACTGACCGTCAAAGTATTGAAAGTTTGCCGAGGATTACCGTTGATGCTCATAAAGGAGTTGACGATACTTTGCAAGCCTGAGGCACATACTGGAAATATTCTTATTTAGCTTACTAATGTTATTAAATAACATTTTATTAAAACCTGCAAAATCCTTTCTGTAGAGAGATCTAAATTAATACTATAGTTTATTGTATATGCAGATTATATTTTAAGCTGTTACACAAAATCAAGCAGTTTATAAGATTGATCTCTCTATATACTTTAGGCATGTAGAACATATCTGCATTTCTGCATCAATGGATGTAATGTGTGCTGTAGGTGCGAAAATTTTAGTAATCTTAACCAAGATGTAGATTATCTTATTCCCGGTGACTAATATTTGAACTGCCTTCTCTCAACCTGCTCAAAATTTGAAACTCAAAGTGAGCTTACATACTACTCACACCGTGAGGATCAGAGTACGAGGATCATTTGAGTTCATAATGAGCTCATATACTACTCACACCGTGAGGATAAGAGTATGAGGATCGTGTGAACTCACAATGAGCTCACCTATTACTCACATTGAGAGGATCACAGTATGAGGATAGCTTGAGTTCATAATGATTTCACCTATTACTCACACCGTGAGGATCACAATATGAGGATCGTGTGAACGCACAATGATTTCACCTATTACTCACACCGTGAGGATCACAGTATGAGGATCGTGTGCACTCACAATGATTTCACATAGTAATCACACTGTGAGGATCACAGTATGAGGATCGTGTGAACTCACAATGATTTCACCTAGGCTATTACTCACACCATGAGGATCACAGTATGTGAGGATCATGTGAACTCACAATGATTTCACCTATTACTCACACCGTGAGGATCACAGTATGAGGATCGTGTGATGTCACGGTGATCATCGCATGATCTCACGTGTTGACTGGGTGTGTTATAGCTCTCATGAAGCTATAACACATAGAAAAGAATTAGGTCATGTAGCTTAGCAAAAAAAAATCAGAGGTTGCAGTCCTGTGCCGTTTTAGCTCGTAACTTCACCAAACATGCATAAACATGCACAGCATTATTTTCAGAAAATTCTCCCGATTAAAAAGAGCCCAAATTTACCATAATCCGTCAATCAGATCGAAATATTTAGTTCATAGAACTGTAACACATGAAAGCAGAGAGGCGCACTGAGGTGCTGCAAAAAGACAGCTCTATGCTTCACGTTGCGTTTTCATTCATAACTTCACGAAACATACATAGATCATGAAAAACCGCACGTCATTATTTTCAGAAAATTCTCCCGATTAAAAAGAGCCCAAATTTACCATAATCCGTCAATCAGATCGAAATATTTAGTTCATAGAACTGTAACACATGAAAGCAGAGAGGCGCACTGAGGTGCTGCAAAAAGACAGCTCTATGCTTCACGTTGCGTTTTCATTCATAACTTCACGAAACATACATAGATCATGAAAAACCGCACGTCATTATTTTCAGAAAATTCTTATTAACATGAGCCCAAAATTACCATAATCCGTCGATGAGATCCAAAGATATTGCTCATATTGCTGTAACACATAAAACCCAAGGGCGCACTTCAGGCGCAGCAGGACAAATAACTGTACTTTCAATTTGCGCCTTTATTCTTAACTTTATGAAACATGCACTATCATGGAAAATTGGACGTCATTATTTTCAGAAAATTCTTATTAACATGAGCCCAAAATTACCATAATCCGTCGATGAGATCCAAAGATATTGCTCATATTGCTGTAACACATAAAACCCAAGGGCGCACTTCAGGCGCAGCAGGACAAATAACTGTACTTTCAATTTGCGCCTTTATTCTTAACTTTATGAAACATGCACTATCATGGAAAATTGGACGTCATTATTTTCAGAAAATTCTCCCGATTAAAAGGAGGCCAAACTCACCGTAATTCGTTCATTTGGTCTAAATATATTACTTACGATATTATCACACACATGAAACAATTAAATTGAGAAAAACATAGGTTATGTTTTTATTCATAACATCATGAAGCATGCATAGATCATGGGAATTTGTCATTTAGATCTAAATATATTCTTCATCGAATTATAACACATAAAACTCCAAATGCGCACATGCTGCGATATTCTCATGGATTTTTACGCTTATCATTTCATGAAACATGCTCCGATTGTGGGAAATGGCATATCATTATTTACAGCAGATTCTCAGATAGAAATGAGTCCAAAATCAAAACAATCCATTGCATCTTCGTGTGTAAATAATACCTAAACCCATGAATTGGATAAATCAGTTGGAGAGCTCTGTTGAACACTTGGCACACTCAAAAAAATGAAATGTGGCTGCTGTTGGTCCAAAGAATGTAACTACGTTTAAATTAAATAATTCCCTTACGTTTGTGTATTAAAATTAAAAGAGTTGTTTTGACCAAATTAGAAAAAGTAATATTTCAAATTTACACAGTTCACTTAAGTAAAGTGAATGAAATGGAGTTGAGTTGCGGGAAGTGACGGCTAGGAGGGCGGAAGTTTGTCGGATGGCGGCAAACGCAGCGATTGAGTTGCTTTTGCAGTACCGCACTTTGGTCAGCAGGTGGAGTAATATCTGCACATGCACAGACGGACAGCACATTCAAAGATCACTCTTCAGCGATCGGCGCCATTTTTGAATCAGACGAAGATCACAGTGCCAAACGAGGAACGTTTTCTTTGTGGAAACACAGGTGGGATATTTTACTTTTTATGCATATATATTGAGGCCGTCATTTTATTAGAATGGTTAATCACGCATAATCTCGTGTTTTGTATGGGATTTTCATGAAGACACTTAAATAAGCTTGTTTGTTAGGTCATTCAACACATACTAAAATTTAGGAGTTGGCAGTGTTTTATATTATTATTATTATTAGGTGACTCACACCTTTTTTTCCCAACCTCACAGAGTTGTAGAGTCCTACATGTGGCTGTGCAGAGATTGTGGTTCCTCTCACACATCCAGATCAAATCCAGCACTCTTTGTAGAGCAATAGGTAAGTCTTTGTAATGTCAGCTGTGATGAATTACTTGGATATTTTTGTAATTCTAAATTATGTATTGAAGTTTAGATGTAATTCAGATTTGTGTTCATTTGTAATAATTTTGTATGTAATCTGTAAGTGCTGGTAAAGGAATACTATGATTGTATACTAATATTATTTTAAGGTTTGTCCCAAATTTATCAGCAGCCAACCTGATTTGTCCTTTTAAAACTGTATTAGGTAACGTTATCTGTGAAATTCAGTTGGTTTACAACAATCCCTTTGGTCTCCAAATATATGGGACTGCTCGATCATTTCTCAAACCAAAGAAAGGAGCAGCAGCACAGAAGATCACATACATCCTGTCAGTTATGGCTCAGGTATGTTATCTAAATTCACTGTCATTTTAAATCTGACAATAATTCATAATAGGTTAAAATAATATTTCACCCAAAGATGAAAATTCGGTCATCATTTACTCAGCCTCATGTCGTTGAACCTCTTACATCTTTTTTTGTTTTGTTTTTGTTGCCTGAACTAAAATGATGCATTTTGGCCAATTTGTCCTCTTTTTTTTGTGTGTACACAATAAAAGTCAATGGTGAATTCCTGTTCTGAATCTTCAAATGTAACATGTAATTTGTTTGATGCTTTTGAAGCTTCAGAAGAGAAACTCACTCTTGACTGTCATTTTATCATCAGAAATGAGCAAGACAAACTAACCAAATTTTACATTTTATGTAAGGGAGTCTAAAAGATAAAACAACTGATAATGATTTTCTTTTGGTGAATTATCCCTTTAAAGCCTGGAGTATATACAGCATAAGCTAAAATGTTCATATGTGCATAATTCATACTGTTTTAATTTCAGGGCTTGTTTGTAGCTTTATCAAATTTCTCAGCAGCAGAGTTG